TTATCCAATAATATTTTTCCCATGTGATGAGATGATCTACAAAAATCAGCCAATTACAATGAAAGCCCGCTATGCTGCAGAACATGTGATTAGAATGATAATTTTATATCATAAACCAAATTTTCATCTTTATGCGAATAATTATCGAATTATGGAGAAGTGTAGTCATTATAATATTTACAAGCCAAACGATATGAGTACAAAAAATACTAATTACAAGACTTGGAAATAATGAAATCATACCATATTTTGGCCGTAAAACAATACCGTATAGTTCCAAAAACAAGCACCCCGAAAATAAGCACCCTCGCTAAATGATTTATAAACATAGTGCAGCACTATATAAGATTTTTTAAAAATTTGTCGATCAATTTATTAAAAAAAATTGGATTTTACTAAAACGCACCTATGGTGTTTTACACCATAGGTCCCTATTTCTCAAAAACGTACTAAGTAACCGGGATCGGGTACTCTAAGTAAAATGTTCAGGACCCCCAAAAACCTCACAAAAACTGAGATCGGGACCTCTATATTATATTATATAAAAAAAAATAATTCGAACCCTAACCCTAAATTTTATTAAAATCATTATATATGGTGCTAAAACACCATAGGTGTGTTTTATAATAATTGAAAAAAAAATTTATCATAGTAATTTTATAATAAAAATCGCGAATTTTTAAAATGTTCTAACTCGCTTTCTAGTGAAGCAAAAATTAGTTCTGTAAACTGTAAATTACATATAAGTAGTGTGGTTTTAAGACTATGTTGAGACATTTTTCAATTTATTTTATTACTTTGTTAATAAAAATTAATAAATTTTAATAGTTATAAAACGATTAAGTTATAGAGACTACGAAAAAATTGTATTTTAATATTAAATATTACAACATAGTTTAAATATCTCGTTAATTATACACCGTTCACAAGCTACAAACATTTTAAAATTACTATGATAAATTTTTTTTAATAAATTGATCGACAAATTTTAGCGGGCCAATCATATAGTGCTGCACTATGTTTGTAAATCATTTACCCATTGGCGGATGGTATAAGAATCTGAGCACTTCGATAGCTGATAATGATTATTTGGTTAATTATATACTAGATCATGTAATTCTTTATGCATGTCGCAGATCGTTGGCCAATTTTTTGGAAAACGGCGGAAATGATAATGGATATGTATTAACTGTTAATACGTACCTACGTACCTTTTATGCTAATCTTTGCGTATTTTTCCGGTACTAAACTTTTATTAAAGTTTTTCGACAGGCAATCTTCGCAAATTATTTCATCAAGTTTATAACATTTATATGGGAATTTTACATGCGCAAGTTCTCATAGAAGAACACCGAAACTAATTATGTATATAGTGAAAATTTTATATACACTGTATGTAATAATATTTTAAATAAACTCGATGCTAATAATGCACATTTTATTGTTGATTATGGTGATGGCTATTTGCAAAGCTTCGATAGATTCGATCGCACATTATTTTATAAACTTACCCATACACTTCACTTTTGAAATCATATCTTACGTGTACAATTGTATCAGTATATGTTTGTGTATTAGTGAATGTTCGTGTGTTTCGTTGGTATATTTCTGGTGGTATGTATCCAGCGGTTTAGTAGCAAGTATTCCCGATACATCCGTAACTAATCGACTCTCACAAAAATTTGTAATTTTGGCTTTAAGTTCATTTGTTATCAGAATATTTTCAGATTTTATATCTCGATGTAAAAAGCCCACTGTATTTAGAAATACCAATGCATTGCATATTTCTAATGCAAATTTTAACTTAGTTTGAATATCTAGCGCTAGTGGATGCTTCTTGTAATATGTCCTTAAATTGCCATATTGTGACCATTCTATAGTCATTTCTATTTGATCGTCGCATTTTATCGCACAATAAAATTTGGATATGTTAACTAAACCTTTTAAGTTTTTTAAAAGCGTCATTCGAACACTGAATAATTTCATGTCCGGTGGTTTAAATTTTTTTGATTTGGCATTTTTATCATCAAATGGTCCTTGAATAATTCCATATTCGAATACTTCATTATTTGCGGCATTTTGAATATGAGCACTTATCTTTTCGACAAAGTTAAACATAGAGTCACCTTCAAGGTTGCTTTCAAATGTTTGAATAAACTAGAAGAGATTTTAAATTACATCTTTAATGCCTAAATTTTAAATTTATATTATATGAAAAGATACCTTTTTTGTTTCTTCAATATCTTTGTTTATATCGTCAATTTTGCTATCTATCTGAACATCAAGCCCGAGAGATGATGTGGATTCACCAAATTCTTTTAGTAATTTGAAATATTCATCTTTTAATCGTTCAAATGAAATTCCATAATCTGTTTCTTGAATATAATATTTTAATCTTCTGATTTGAGAAATATCCTCAATAAAATTTCGGATGTTCTCAAGATTTTTTAGTAAATTACGAAAGGATTTATAATTATCCAATGTTAAGAACTCGTCATAGTCGGTTTTATTTTCAAGTGTTTTAACAGCGGATACAGTTTTAATGATACATTCACCCAAATGTTTACCCATTCTTTTATTAAGTTGCATGTTATCATAAGAATTATAAAAATTTCCAATTTGACAAGCTTTTTCGATTAATATTGATAAAGTGTCTAAAATATTTAAATTTTTTAATTCAACTGAGTCGTCAATGGGACTATCCTCTTGTGAAATAATATCATATGAATTTTCCATAAGATGGTTTGTAGACGATGATATCTCTGTAATATGTTAAAATTCAAAATCAAAAATCATTTATTTCTCTGCTTTTACATATCTATTTTAATTAATAATATAATTACAAACCTGTCAAATGAATATCTCTTTCAGTACAAGTTGGCTCTTTACTGAGAATTTTAAGATCATCCAATATTTTGGAAATTTCAGGTCTTAATGATTGACCCGGATTCCAACAATCTTCATATATTGCAGGGGAATTCCTATTTCTCGCTTTTCTCGAAAGCCCGTACAAAATTGACAAGTTAAGAGTACAGTGTCGTGACCATAAAATGGCGGCCGACAAGTGTAGATTTCCCACATAAGCACACCGAAACTATAAATATCGGAGGATTTTTTGTACTTATCATTCGATCTTCCGTTTAATAATGCTGGATCGATATAAGCCTGTACACCTCGAACTCCTGACTTTTTAGTTTTTGATTCTAGAAGAGATTTTGAAAGGCCAAAGTCGGCCAATAAAGCTTTTCCATTAAGAATTAAAACGTTGTTTGAATGCTACAAATTACATGTATGTAATAATGATTATTGTTAAGGTGTGTGTACATCACCTTGGTCTTAACATAGGTTGATCATTTTGCTAGCAAAAATTATATACAATTGCAAACTTACCAAATCTCTGTGTACTATTTCGTTATCATGCAAAAATTGTAATCCTTTGAGATAGATATATTTATGGAAATTTTATCATTTAAATTTTCTTTTAGCATCTCTTTGTTAGTACGAAGATAGTCCCTCTGCATGATTAAGATATATAATGCTCCTTATCAGGATCTGCAATTAAGGATTATTTATAGTTAGTGTTCTGACAGTTTTTGGCGAAATTTGTGTACACAGGCCTTTCAGTAACGGTAACAACGTTGCTAAGTTATCTATAAATTTCAAATATCAACATATCGTGTTGGAAGCTTCGACCAATTTTATTTGAATCAGAATTCCAACAAAAACATTAGATAATTTAAAATTTCTTTATTGGAAGGTTCCCCAAATTATTCTATTGCATAATATATATACTATATGGATCAGTCTGTATCGTTATGAGGCTTCGAGACTTTTTGATCAAATATTGATAATTTATTGGATTATATTCTTGAGTAGGTACATTATTTTATTTTAAATATTAATTTTATATCACATTGATTGAACATTGATATTTAGAGTTAAGAAATTTTCGCCGAAGCATCATAACGGTACAGACTGACCCACATATATATTACCGTACAAGCGCGAAATAACGCCCAAGGGCGTTATTTTGAATAATGGCCCGAATTAGGCTTAATTTAGGCCAAAATTCAAAATTACACCCCTGCGCGTTATTTCGCGCTTATACGGGTAAGTTAATGCACGCGCATAATATAATTCTCATTTTATTTTCATGTTAGTGTACTTGTATAAGATAATAAAATATAATTACCTTGATATAATCTGAAAAATTGGATAATATTGCTTTTACATTTCTTAGATTTTCTCAAAACATACAACTGAAATATAATTAAACAAACGAGACTAGTATGAGTGACTTATTTGCCTTCCGCTTTTTTTTTTTAAATATTACCTCGCGGTCAAAATCCCTTAATTCCGCAGAAGTTTCACGATTAACGTATTTCGCAGCTATATCTTGTTCTTTCCATTTTCCTTTGTAAACGAACCAAAGCCACCTTTTCGTCCAGATTTTAATTCTACTTCCAAATCGCCATATTCAATATCGCAAACAGGTAATGTTTTACATTTTCCAACTCGAGAACGGGTATTGTTGTTTCACGATATTTAGGCGGTATTGGTAATCTTAAATGATCCGAATGGTCAAAGTTTTTGTTGTCTTCTGTAATTCTATATATTATTTGGGAGAAAAACCGTGTATGGTCAGGGACCATCTAATATTTGGACATCAAATAAAAAAAATTGTTGTGATCATAATGAAATCAGAAATGAGGGTTTCTATTTAACTCTCTAAAACCACTTATACTTGTTTATTGTTTATTATAAACTCTACCCTACTCTAACCCTAACCCCTAACCCTAAAAAATGTGCCGATTAAATTATTCCAACACTGTCAATCGAACCGCCAGTTTGCCCTAAAGATGAACTTATAAATCAACGTCTTAACTTTAAAACCTTTATAAACCAATTAATTCTTCTGCAAATTTGGTAAAGGTTTATGGTAAATAATTTACTCTTATTATAATATTTTCAATTTTAATCGTTAAAATGGTTACTTTTTAATTTTTATATTCTACTACTCTCATTTCTGATGACGATTATAATATTATTTCACGTGTGTATTTTAATTTGTATTTAATATTTTTTTTACTAATCTATAAAGATAGTAATCTTATACTTTAGCCAATAATGAAGTATAAAGTTTAATATTAACTTATACGAAGTTAGAGTTAAAGCTATTGAATTTCGATCGAGTTTATGGCCATATTAACTTGATCAAAGAAATAATTTTTTTTTCGAAAATTTATATAAAACCATATAAAAGTAATTTTTTTTTCATCAAAATTCAGAAATTGAACCTTTTTAAAAAAAATTTTATGTATAAAAATTTTCTTAAATTATCTACCCAGTTTATCAAATATATAAATAAAATTTTAAAATGCTTTCAACGGCAAGGTTATGAAGACAAAGAAAAAAAAAATTGTATAACCTTATTGCTTTTTGCTAATATTACTTTTGACAATTTATTTTTTACTTTTACAATCAGAAAATTTCATGCTTATAGTACTGCATAATGACGTTTATTTATACGTAATAAAATTTTTGGCCTACGTAAAAAAGTTAATTTTCAATCAAATTTAATTAATGAATTCTTAGGATTCTAATTTTCAAGATTTGAACAAAATCTATTTATTAATGAATACTACCGTATACAAGACCCGGGTCTAGTACACGCTGAGAGGTTATTTCGTAAAAGGAAAAATTTAAAAATGCATACACGATCACTATTTTGGGGATCTTGCATACGCGCATTTACGGTAGCAAATTTTTGCATTGGCCATGCAAGGCACATCAATGTTGTCTTGATAACGAGGTTGACCTCCGTGGACTCACGTAGCTTACACTTCCACAGTTCGTGTTCAGTGAATAATGCTCACACTTCGAACCTAAAATAATACCATGTTTCGGCTATTAGTATGATCTACAAAATTAAAAAAAATAATAATGAATACGAAGTGTCATCATCACACCATCCTAACAACATTGGTCGTAGTCTCGGAATGAGATCTGCAATTGGCGATTTCCACAAGTTGGCCCCTGTGGACTCACTCCAACCAGCGTAACTTACACCTCCACAATGTTAAACAGTTCACTTTGGACTCATAAAAGTAACACACTTTTAAACCCAAAAAATAATAACATACTTCGCCTATTAGTATGAAAAATACTTTTCATGTTCGATTATTGATTTCTTTGCTCGTGATTTAGAGAAGAGAAAGTCATCAAGAATTTCAAAATTACAGAAACGATGACATCGGCGTTGATGAATTATATGAGTAAAAGCGAGAAAAGAAATGCAAGAAAACAAAGAGAAATAAAAACAAACTCACCAAACTTTCTTAAACACCAACAACGATGAAATAGAGATTAAAAAAAAAAACCACGAAATCTAAGTCACTTGTTTTCCTATTTCGACTTCATTAAAAAATATAAATTCATGTCTCAGACTTTATACATACATGCCTCAAAGGCATTATTAAAATTATCATCATAGACACGATAAAAGTTATAACGAAGTTCGGTTTATCTTCTCTAATTATTATTCAGAAGGTGAGAGAGAGAAGAAATTTTAAAGAAG